TTCAAATCAGCAAGTCATTTTCCAACACGACAAAAATATATTCTGCATGATTAATTACTGCCAGTTGAACAGAGACGATTTTAACCTATTATTTAAATGTGCTTATTAACGTAAGATTTTAATTAGGTTTTGGTTTCTTCCCCTCATTTGTGGATTCCAGGATTTTTCTTCCTTGACTGAATTATATGTTCTGAAAAAGTATGGTCTCTAAATACTGAAAATCCTAACTAATATACTGTGGTACTCCCTATAAAATGAAAAAATGAGCACAGTTGGCCCTCTAAATAAGTTCCCACATCCTGAATCAAAAATATTTGGGAAGAAGGGGAACCCAATAAAAATTAGCAATGCAGTAAAAAATAGTACCAATAAAAAATACAGTACAACAACTATTTACAAAGAATTTACAACTGTAGTAGGTATTATGAGTAACAAAGTATGTAGGAGGATGTGTGTATGTTATATGCAAATACTACACCATTTTATAGAAGGGACTTCAACATCCACAGAATTTGGTACCTGAGGGGTTTTTGGAACCAATCCCCTGTGGATACTGAGGGATGGCTATGATGGTTTTTGTGAGTTAAGGAACCTACAAAAAAATTAAATGGTAGCTCTGTTACAAAAATTAAAAATAGTAATTTTGGTTATATTTATATTTAAAAGATAATAAAATCAAATCTCAATAGAATTATGAACTTCAGCAAAATCAGATGTTCAGTAGCAAATGGTTTTTGAATTCAGGACAAGATTGTACTGTAAAAAAAATCTCTCATAAGTTGTTAGCTATATCTGTGTATACAGGTCAGGATTTTAGAAAAAATTATGTGCTTTGTGATAAAAAATGTTTTAAAATTGGACTGTAGTAATGGTTTCACAGTGTTGTACATTTACTAAAAATAACTGAACTGTACATTTAAAACAAGTGAATTTTATGGTATGATTATACTTCAATAAAGCAGTTAAAAAATTGTGTGCTTATAAAATAGTAAATGAATGACATACCGTGTTTTCTCAACATCCAAGGAGTTATTTAAACTTGAAAGCAATTAAGCACCATGAAGATACTAGCCAACAGTAGTGCTCACTATATGCTATCTGATGATTCTAGGGCTTCCAAATCTATGAGACTACTTAGCGTCAGGACTAGGGGGCCATAGCAATGCTTTCTTCAGACATTAACCCAGAAAAAGATACCCTATAACAGAACATATAAGCAACTAGCTCACACCCTTATCAAATTGTCTCTAATAGAGAAAGCCAGACGAATTACCCACTGTGTTGTCCTATAACAGTGGCTTATGGTAATATTGTAGTAACTTGTTACTCAAATTATATAATCATCTGTGGTTCCTATAGGTTTAGTTACTTATCGACTTACTACATTCCATACACATTGCTAAGTTCTGGGAATAAACAATTTTGATCAGAGAGAGAGACATTTTCAATACACTGCAGTAAGCAATGATGCTGGTTTCACAGTGGTTGGGAGTCTGTGAAAACACTGAAGAGAGTCATTTATCATAGCCAGAAGGTAGTGAGGGAAATGTCACAGAAAATGTTGCTGAAGAGCTGACATCTAATCTGAAACTTTAAAAGGAGGAATAGGAATTAGTAAGAAAAGAAAAAAATAGTATTCTAAGCAAAAGCAACAATAGCATGAGCAAAGATAGGGAACCATGAAATAAGTTATGAGGAGGGAATTAGTGACAACTCAGTACTACTTACATAATGGTTCAAGGCAAGAATGGATGGGAAATAAGGTGACAAAATGAAAACAATATAAAGAACTTTTCATAAAGCTCTATTTATTTAAAGGATTTTATTTTTTTTTTTTTTTGGTGACTGGCTGGTACAGGGATCTGAACCCTTCACCTTGTTGTTACTAACACCGCACTCTAACCAAGTGAGCTATAAAGTATAAAGGATTTTAACTTTAACCCTCTGCTGGTCACCTTCAATTTAAAAATAATTATTGGTCTATAAATCCTAGAAATCCAGGACCACTACACTGTATATGTAGCCCTGAAGAATTAATCAGGTGAATTTTTGGCTGATCCATCTTGCAGAAAACAGTTTGATAATGCAAGATCTCCTGATATTTTTCTGCCCTCTTTCCCCACAAAACACATGTTATAAAGACTGTTCAAATACCAGCAGTATATTAAGGAGAAAGTAAAAAGGATGTACTTTCACAACGACAAGCAAAACACCATTACTGACAACAAATACTTGCAAATACTTGGTTTAATTTATCATAGTCTTGCCGTCAAACTCTGAAATAAGGAAAATTTACCTTTAAAACAATGTAGTAGGAATGTAATGAAAATATTAAGTATACAAATTTGCAACCATAAATCTTGCAAATTGTAACGAAATGGCTGTTCTGTGTATAACCTGAAAAGTTTGACAAGTCTTTTCTCTTTTTCTAAAGACAATGCCACATGCTGTGGGTTGAATGCCCCCCACCCCCAAACTCAATGAAGCTTAATTGTGTCCTCTAAAGTTCCAGGTATTGGAAATCTGGCCCCCACTGTGACACTATTGAAAAAGTGGGGAATCCTATTGTGAGGATTGAAAGATGGGGCCTTGGAGATGTGACTGGACTGAAAGGGCCATGCCCTAGTTCATGGGTGTGGTCCTGAGGGCTTTAAAAGAACAGCACATGAGAGTCTCTATTTCTCTGCTATGCTATTTTCTGCCATGTTAGACCCCTGCATTGCTGTGAAGCCACCACCAAAGAAGATCCTCACCAGATGTGTTCCCTGGATTTTGGACTTCCCAGCTTCTGAAACCATAAACAATAAATTCCACTTTCTTATAAACTACCCAGTTCTAAGTATTTATGTTATAAACAGCAGAAACAGACTAATACACAAAATTGGTACCAGGGAAGTAGGGTGTTGCTTATAACAAATATCTGAAAATATGGAAGCAGTTTTGGAACTGGGTGTTGAGGAGAAGCTGCAAGAATGTGAAGGAGCAGGCTAGAAAAAGCCTAGCTGCTGGTGAGAGTTTAGAAGACAAGAAAACCAGGGGAAGTTTGGAATTTCTTAAAGACTGGTAAAATGGTGGTGAGCAGAATGCTGATAGAAATACAGATAGCAAAGGCCATACTGAGGAGATCTCAGCTGTAAATGAGAAAGGAGTTACTGGAAACTGGGGCAAAGATCACCCTTGCTATGAACTAGAAAGGAACCTGGCTGCATTCTGTTCATGCCCAAAAGTTTTATAGAAGGTGGAACTGAACCAGGGTATTTGGCAGAAGAAATTTCTAAGCAGCAAAGCATTAAGAAAGCTGCATGGCTACTTACAACAGCCTATGCTGAGTTATGGCAGAAAAGGCATGAGGTAAAGCCAGAATTTATAATTCAAAAGCAGAGAACAAAAAATTGGAAAACATTCAGCCTGGCCACAAAAGCAAGGGTGTATCCAGGGACCCTTTACTAAGGAGATGAGTATATAAGATAGGGATTATGAGAAGGAAAAGACCTTGAAGGCATTTCAGAGACCTTGGAGGTTGTGTCTTCCATTACAGGTCCAGAGGCCTAGGCAGACTGAATGGTCTTGGAACAGGCCCGAGGTGCCCTCCATGGGCTTGTTGCCCAGGGCCACTTCAGGATACTGCTCCCCATACAAGGACCCTAGCTGGTTTGGCTGCTCTAGCTGTGGATAAATTGGCTCCAAGTGTGCCTGGACCTGCAGCTTTTGAAAATACAAACCAGAAGCCTTGGCGGTGTCCATGTGGTATTAGGTCTGGAGACTTACAAAACGCCAAAGCTGTGAAGGCTTAGGAGCCTCCACCTCAATTTCAAAGGATGTATGGAAAAGCCTGGGGGCCCAGGAAGAGATCTGTCCCAGAGGTGGAGTCAGAGCATAGAGTCTTCACTAGAGCAATGCAGAGAGGAAATGGGGGGCTGGAGTTGCAGCAGAAAAATCCCACCAAGGCCATGCCTGTTGAGCTGTGGGAGCAAGATGACCATGAAGAACCTATAACTGTGAATCTACCAGCATGCAATGCCAGCCTGCGAGAGCTGAAGCACGGCTTCAGACCAGGAAAGCCACAGGAGTAGAACTGCCTGAGGACTTAGGGACCTAACTCCACACCAACATGCAGAGGACATCGAACATGAAATCAAGGTATGTGATTCACCAGCTTTGATATTTAATTCCTGTCCCACTAGGTTTTGGACTTGTTTAGGACCTTTTACACCTTTCTTTTGCCCTATTTCCCTCTTTTTAAATGGGAATATGTACCCTATGCTTGTTCCACCATTGTATCTTGGAAGTAGATAACTTGTTTTGAATTCACAGATGGGACTGTGACCTTTGGACTTTTGAGTTGAAACAAGACCTGGGGACTAAATGAATGTATTTGTATGTGAAAAGGACATGAGTTTGCGGGGGCTAGGGGAAGAATGCTGTGGATTAAGTGTCCCTCCCAAACTCAATGAAGCTTAAATTGTGTCCCCTAAAGTTCCAGGTACTAGAAATCTGGTCCCCACTGTGACAGTCTTGAGAGAATGGGGATCCTATTATGATGATTGTAAGGTGGGGCCTTGGAAAGCTGACTGGATTGTGAAGGCCATGCCCTAGTTCATTGGCATGGTTCTGAGGGCTTGAAAAGGACAGCATGTGAGAGTCTCTCTGTCTCTGCTCTGCTATTTTCTATCACATGACACCCCTGCATTGCTGTGAAGCTACCACCAAAGAAGACCCTCACCAGATGTGTTCCCTGGACTTTGGACTTCCCAGCCTCTGAAACTGCAATAAATTTCATTTTCTTATAAATTACCAAGTTCCAGGTATTTTGTTATAAACAAAAGAAACAGACTAATATACCACATTTACATTTTTTCACTGTTCAAACATGTTGCTACTCTATGAGGCCTGGTGTTGCTAATTGGAAAAAAAACCTTACACTAGAAAACAGAATACTCACACAACAATCATACAATTATTTCATGCTATGGTTTTCAATTTGGCTTCAACCTGCTTACCTGCTTTACATTATATCCTGCTTTTGCACTAGTTTCAATAAACATAACATTCAGCTCTTTGGCTTTCCTCTCTCCCTCTTCAATTGACACTTGCCTGTAGAAAAATAAAAACAGATAAACAAATGAATTATTAATAAATGAATAATTTTCATCTTTGAAAGATGAAATTGTAAAGATTATAAACAAAGTTCTGAAAATAACTATTCTTAATATAGATGCTGATTATATAGGCAAGATTAGTTTGAAAATTTTTAATCTACAACACTTTTTTGTGTGTGTTGTTCTGTGTGTATGTTATACTTAACTAAACAATTTTCTTAAAAGACATTTTTTACTGGTTTGCTTTTACTTGGCTGAGCTCATCCGGTAATTTTTTTACTACTAAAAACTTAATAGCCTGCTTCTTTCCCTTAATATTAGATCATAAACATTTGGTCTTGTAATTCAAAACTTTGTGTAAAATAATTTTTATGTATGACAATCTGTTGATTTGCTACTATAATTTAGATAACCATCTCTACAAAATGGAAGTTGTTTTCAAATTTTACACTACTATATAAAATGTTGCTGTAAATATCTTTGTGTTTAATATTTTGTCCACTATGGGTTATTTCCTTGGGTTGGATTTTGTAGGTTTCTATAAGTGGAACAAGTAAGTGAAAAACATGTATGGTAAAGCCTCTTAATACAAAATATTAATACTTTAACATTTCTTTCTTTTCTTTTTTTTTTTTTTTTTTTGTCTTTTGTCTTTTGTCTTTTTTTCCGTGTCTGGCAACGGATCGCAACCCTCAGTGTTGCCCCCGTACCGGACCAGGGACCGGCAACGGGATCGCAACCCTCGGTGTTGCTCCCACGCCTCGCTCAGCCAGTGAGCTGGAACCGGTCTGTATGTGGGATCCGAACCCTCGGGCGGGAGCGCCACCACGCTTCCCAAGCGGCGCACTATCCAGTGCGCCACCAGGCCGGCCCTTAACATTTCTTTTAAAGGACATTTTGTGATACATTATAATAAGCAGTGCATTTCAAATTATGAGTTCTGCAAGTACAAGATTATCTCATTTATCTTGGCATTCCTAGTGCCTACCTGGTACACATGTGTACAATGTATATGCAAATGTTCTAATTAAACAGATCTAAACTATCAGCTGACAAACCCTGCTTCCTATCACACAGATAATTGAGCAATGGAAGAGAATTTCCACAAGATTCCATCACATCTATCTACTGATCTACCTGCATGTGTGCCCTTATAGTCTGCATTTAATCCCATTACTACAAAGGAATTGTCCTTACTCCTACATACTAGATCCCATTCCTTTCTCATCTACTAGATATTCTAGAAATTTTCCACTCTCTAAAAACAAGGACATTCTCTTACATAACACTCCAACTGCTAACATTTTACTACATTTGCTTATTTTATCCTTTTGTTCTCTCTGTATATGTGTATACATAAATTCTTAAAAACACATCTTAACAGTATGAAAATAAACTGTCAATCTGTAGACCTTCAGGCCCTAAGTATTTCTGCAGTGTGAATTTCCTAAAAACGAGGTCATTGTACCACAGTACAATTATTAAAATTCGGATATTAACATAAATATATTATCATTGAATCTATAGATTTTATTTGGGTTCTGTCACTTATCCCTAAATGTCATTTATAGCAAATGAAATACTTCTTTAAAGAGAAATTTTCTCAACTACTTGGTTATCTGAGGTACTCACACAGGAAAATAAAGAAGGGAGAAAAGGAAAGGGAGAATAAAGTTCAAGTCAGTCTCTGGTATCTTCCAAGGGTCACCAATGTGTTTTCCCCATAAGTATAATATCATTATGACTCATGGATTTAAACATATTTTGTAATTACTGATTCTCAAATTTTTGTAACTTTGACCAGTAGAGCTTTCTTTGACAGACCCCAATAAGTTTTTAATAACTTTCTTGATTTATGGTATAACAAAATATTCCAGACTTATTTTTTACATTTTCTAGCCCAGGCTCCAAATCTGTCATTTCTTCAAGAAGTCTTGGTTCCATTAGAGAGAAATGGTATTTAGATATAGTCTGGGCTCACTGATCCTAGTTTGGGTCTTTTAGTAGATTAAGCTAGAAAATATTAAATATTTTCATGCTTAAAAAAATCATGAATTCATACTGACACTTTACTACTTATATTCAGATCTACAAGTTTTTATTTAACTTTAATGATCTGTATGTTTCTCCCATGCCCAAAATCGCAGTTCCCAAAGACACAATCATTAAACAAATTATTCACTTATTTTATGCAGAATACACACAACATTTTTTTTTCCTTTTTGTCTTTTTTACTGACCGGTAACGGGATCGCAACCCTCGGTGTCACGCCTGCACCGCGCTCAGCCAGTGAGCGGGAACCGGTCTCCACATGGGATCCGAACCCTCAGCGGGAGCGCCGCCGCGCTCCCAAGCAGCACACTCTCCAGTGCGCCACCGGGCCGGCCCCCACACAGCAGTTTTGAAATAACAATACCCAACAATATCATCAACATGTTTACTAAAAACAATTAAGATTTTTTGCAGTTCTTTTTATCCTAGGAGATCTCTATGGATGTATAGTCAGTGTACTATTTTTAGGTTACTTTGAATAGTTTCATTTTCATTTTTAGGAACTGTTTTTTATTTTATTTAATTTTTTAAAAATTATAATACACAATTCCAAAGTCAAATCTACAAAACAAGTTTCTATCTCTGTCACTCCACCTTAATTTCTCCCTCTCCCCATAGGTTAACATTTTCTTTAAACTTATAATTTGTCTTTTCATTTTGTTTTTAATAATATGTACATACATCTGTATCTCCCTCTTTCTTAAACAAACTGTAGCATATGTTACATACTACTTCACCTCACTTTTTTTCACGTAGAAATATACCCTGGAGATTCACTCCATAGTAATATACATATTTCTCATTCCTTTTTACATCTGCCTAGTACTCATTTACAAAGATGTATATAAGTTTGTCAAATCACTTCCCTTTTGTGGGCATTTGGGTTGCTTAAAGTCTTTAGAAATTACATATTACAAATAATGCTACAGCAAGTAGTCTTGTATATGTCTTTTTGTATTCTTACCAATGCATCTTGGAGAGATTCCTAGAAATGGGATTTTCACATCAAAGGATAAACATGTGTTAGATACTGCCAAAATTCACCCTCTCTCCCCCATAGGGGTTATATCATTCTGCATTGCCCCAACAATTTATCATAGTACCTGTTTCTCCTTCAGCCTTGCTAGCAGAAGATTTCAGCAAACTTAGAATTCTGACAATCTGAGAGGCAAGAATGTTTCTCAGTGTAGTTTTTATTTGTATTTCAGTAAGCACAAGACTGAGCTTCTTTTCAGATAGTTAAAAACTATCTTATTAAGTACCAGAATTCAGTTAGTACTTATTTTGTTTTTATGTTTACATCTCTGATCCCTCTGGAATTGTCCTACTGTGGTATAAGGACTTGAACCAATTTTATCTTTTTCTATACAGTTAATCAGTTATCCCAATCAGTTTATTACATAGTTCATTTTCTCCACTGCTTTCAAGTGCCATCTTTATACTTAATTTCCATATACAATCAGGTCTATTTCTAGATTTTCTACTCTGTTGTATTTTTCTGTATACTATTCATGCACCAAGATCATACTGTTTTATTTTTTTTATTTTTTATTTTTTTTGGTCTTGTCTTTTTCCGTGTCCGGCAACGGATCGCAACCCTCAGTGTTGCCCCCGTACCGGACCGGGGACCGGCAACGGGATTGCAACCCTCGGTGTTGCCCCCGCGCCTCGCTCAGCCAGTGAGCGGGAACCGGTCTGTATGTGGGATCCAAACCCTCGGGCGGGAGCGCCGCCGCGCTTCCCAAGCGGCGCACTTATCCAGTGCGCCACCGGGCCGGCCCAAGATCATACTGTTTTAATCAGAGGCTTTATAATATGTCTTATCTGAAAGGGCCAGGAGTTCATCAGAGCTCTTTGTTTTCAGAGTTTTAATGGCTATTCTTGATTCAAATTAGTCTAGCTCTAGGAACAAATAACAACTGGTAGCATTTGGTTACTGGGATTTGTTAAATCAGAAATGAACTTAGGGAAAACTAACGTCTTTATATTAAGTTTCCCTATCAAAGAACATAATATGTCTTTCAATATTTTCAAATTTATACTGAGCCCTTCATGTTTTATAGTTATCCTTGTGTGGGTTTTGAGTAGTATATGTTATAGCTATGCCTAGATTTTTTTTTTTTTTTTTTTTTTGCTATTACAAAAATGTCATTTTATAACTTCAGAGGGGTGGGGGTGTTCTATCTTGACTCTACTACGATCAGATTTTCAACCCCACTATTACAGTGTGAGTACTTGTCAATGTCACTAATAATCTCCAAACTTCTAAATCCAATGGTTAGTTCTCAGTCTTCATTTTATCTGACCTCGAAGAGCATTTGGTGCAATTAAACACTGTCTTCTTCTTGAAACATTTATTACACTTGGCCTCCAGAACACTCTAACTGGTTTTCCTCCTACTTTTGTGGCCAATTTCTCCTTCTGGTTTATTTTGACAGTTTCTCCTCATTTCCTTAACTTCTAAATCAGTGGTTCTCAATCAGGGGAAATTTTGGGAGAAAGCTTTAGTTGTCATAACCTGGTGTTGTGTGTGTGTTACTGGTAGCTACTTGTCAGAAGCCAGGGATGCTGCTAAATATCCTACAATGCACAGGACAGTCCCCCACAAGAAAAGTTATCTGGCCCAAAATGTCAATAGCACCAAGGTTGAGAAACCTTGTTTTAAATATTGGATGCCCTAAAATGTACTCCTTGGATCTCTTCTCAACCCTCAATCACTCCCTTGGTGATCTCATGCAGTCTCATGGTTTTAAATACCATCTATATGCTGATTCTCAAACACATATATCTGGCCCGAACCATTACTTTAATATATCCAACTGCCTGACATCTTCACTTAGATATCTAATAGCAATTCTAAACTTAACATGACCAAACTAAAGTCATGATATTCTCTCCCAAATCAGCCCTTGAGGCAGTCTCTCTCACCTCAGTTAATGAGTTACTTAGGCTAAAAATTTAGATTATCATCCTCAACAGTTCCTTCTCTCAGACCCTACATTCCACCCATCAATATGTATTCCATCCACTGCATGAGTATATCCTGACAGCTCTATCTTCAAAATATATCTGAATTTGGGCCGGCCCGGTGGCGCACTCGGTAGAGTGCGGCGCTTGGGAGCGCGGCAGTGCTCCCGCCGAGGGTTCAGATCCCATATAGAGACTGGTCCGCTCACTGGTTGAGTGCGGTGCGGGCGTGACACCGAGGATTGCGATCCCGCTGCCGGTCGCGGTACAGGCACGACACCAAGGGATGCAATCCCGTTACCGGTCACGAAAAAAGACAAAAAGGAAAAAAAAAAAAAACAATAGAAGCTGGTAACATTCAGTAAGACAAGCAAAGGTGACATTCAGTAATGCAATTTTTATTTTTTTATTTTTATTTTTTTTTTGTCTTTTGTCTTTTTTTTTTCCGTGTCCGGCAACGGATCGCAACCCTCAGTGTCGGCGTTGCTCCCGCGCCTCGCTCAGCCAGTGAGCGGGAACCGGTCTGCATGTGGGATCCGAACCCTCAGTGGGAGCGCCACTGCGCTCCCAAGCGGCGCACTGTAGCAGTGCGCCACCGGGGCTGGCCCTTGATTGATCTTTTAAATTGAGTACTTTTATAATCAGAAAAAGATATTTTAATAAAAACAAAAAAATTCAAAGTTAAATGTCTTTATCATTTTTTTTTTGACAATTTTCTCTTAAGACTTAAAAGTTATACATATAACACTAGCCTGTAAACCCTACAAGGTAAAGATTACAGGCAGAAATCCTTCCTGGTTTTAGAATGTCAGGATAGCATGCTATATACACACTGATCAAGTGCTTTTCTAAGCTTCATGCATTAGACATTTGGTCTCACATCAATAAATTCTTCAGTGGCTACAAAGTATTTTGTTTATAAAATACTATTTATATAATCTGCTAGTAAGGGACACTGAGACTGATTTTAATTTTTTAGTATTACAAATAATGTTGTAAGAAACATTCCAGTATGGTCATCTTTTCACATTCCTGTGAGCATATCTGTGGGATACTGGAGGTGGATTGGAGTCAATAAGTATTTTAAATTCTGATACAGGGGGCTGGCCAGTTAGCTCACTTGGTTAAAGCATGGTGCTAATAACTCCAAGGTCTGGGGTTCAATCCCTGTACCAGCCAGCCATCAAAAAAGTAAAACACAAGAAAGCAAAAATTAAAACTTCTGATACTGTCAAACTGTTTTCCCCCCAAATTGTATATAGTTACATTTTCAGTGTATGAGAGCTCTTGTTTATCCAAACTTTTGACAATACTGTATATTATCAATCTTATGAATCCTGGCCAATCGAATAGGTGAATATGCTCTTTATATTTATATATACAAACTTATTAATCTTTCCCTTATGGTTTCAGGATTTTATGTCATGCTTATAAAAGACCACCTATTACCAAATGATTTTCTTTTAATATTTTTTTTAAAAAGCATCTAAATCTTTTACTCATTTGAAAATTATTTTAGTAAAATGAACAAGCTCTAATCTTTTAAATATGAATAGCTTAGAGGTGACAGTCTGGCAAAAATTACTGAGAAAGACAGTAATTCCAAAGCAACCGATACACATTACCTTAAAGAAAAATTACCGTAAATATAACTTAGATAAGTTTCTAGCATTTGTGCACTCAATTGAAATATTAAGCAATAAAAGAACAGATGCTTATAGGCATCCTCCTTAGATAACTTTAGCTATAAAGGGAAGTAATTCAGATATACAACTTTTCTATTTAAAAATAAAGGTACCTATGCACTCTACTGGAGTGAATATACCAATATAATTTTTCAAATTCTTAAATTGAAGATAAATAAAAGAGTGAAAATTTATATCACAGCAATTCATGTCCAAACAAATTTTCATAAAGAAAAGATGAAATCATACTTTGAATTTATTTTTAAATTAAGAAAGATTCTTTTGCAACTTTACTAACAATTCTAATTGAGGTGCCATGGGCAGAAATGGGCTTAACATCTCCACAAATATTTGAACACTGGATTTCTTTGCAACATTTTAATTAATACCACAAGTTCATTATATGAATTTTAATGTCCAAAGTCATGAATGAGCAAATAATAAATAGCAAAAGCTCTTATTATTAAGTAGTATGGTCAAGACCATTTAAAACAGAAACAATATGCAGTATTGGTTAAGAATGCTAAAAGCAGATATTCAAGCCATGGGTTCTACAGTGAATGTTAACACATTTTGCATCCTGTGACCTGAATAGGCTTTGCTCATTTGACTAAGGTATTACAATCAAGCTATTCAGCTCATCTACACAGTCTGGCTCAACCATACAATTAAAAAAAACCCCCCCCCCCCCGCCCCAAAGAAAACAAAAAACCAAACTCTACACCACTGAATTACAATGAATGTTTACAAGAAGACTACTAAGAAAAGAGTGTGCATTTAATCATTATAAACAATTTTTAAAGATTAGATGTGTTTTCTAAAATGGTTTGCTGTTTAACAAAACACAGCTCATGCTTATGAGACCTAAAAAATACAAAATATTTACTGGCTTCATGTGTAAACAATCTTGCACAAGAGTTATTTACACATGGGCTTATACAAAATAAAACTTACTTCCTCTTAAGGACTGGGTTTAATGTTTACAATTATATTTCAGGTTCCCACACTAAAGAAAGGGGGGATATAAATTTAAGGATCAAACATGTCTCCTTTTCAAAAAAATCTTTCACAGAACAAAAATAACAAGACTGCTTAACACAGAAACCAAACATTTCACACACAAAATCACTCCATACCTCTTGTCAGCAAGATCTGTTTTATTTCCTACTAGCATGATGATAACATCACTTCCTCTTTCTGTTCTGACATCATCAATCCATTTTGTGGTTTGCTGGAATGAGTTAACATCTGGTATAGGAGGGTGGATAGAGAGATCAGTGTTACTGAAAATGTCTTCCCCAAGTGATGGACACACCCCACCAAAAAGACCTGGGTGCTGGAAGGGGTCTGGCACATTAGGAGCTCACTTTTAATGTGCCTGCAACATAACTCCATTTTATCTGACTACAACTGTCAGTGGTCTAAACAAATCACAAGAATAAAATCCTCAAGTTTCCTTTTAGAGTAGTTTAAAATTTTTTGGACATGACCAAATGAGTGCAATGCACTATGCAATTGAAAAAAACAAAAAACAAAAACAAAACTTTTTAAAATATAAGGACAGCTATGGCAGATAATATGGTGTCACATTGCCACGATGCTTTTTTGATCACTTACACATACCAAACACGACAAAGAAAGCATTTCCAAAAGTATGTCAGCCAAGTAAGTCCCAACACATCCAGAAAGCCTTAGCTTTCAACACCACTCTGTTTGCATTGCTTACTCAGTTTGTGATCACTTTAACCTGAAGTTTATTAGCTTAATGCATAAGAATCACTTGTAACAAAATACATCTTTTCTAGCATGGGATTCTGAGTACTTCAACCCTTTTTACAGCAGATAAAAGAAACAATTTACTAATATTTTAACCAAATTTCTGGAGTTTTTAAAGAATAATACACCAGGTTACATTTGCCTTGGTTAAAGTAAGCACAAACATTTTAAAGCTACAAAACTTGCCAATGCACAATAACGAACATACATTTTTTAAAAACAAGTAGCAACCCGAAGTAAAGCTGCAAGAGAAGAAAGACTGCATATAGCATCTATCAAAAAAGAGTCCCTGAATGCAATCACCTAACTTCTAATTTTGCCACTGCAATTACTGTTTACTAGATATGACCTCTGATTGAGCAGATATGCAAATATGTATGGTAATAGTATTGTTAAGCCAAATCAACAGTTTTTAAGATTTTTTAAAGAAGTCCAAGATATATACATATATCATTTCTTATAAATTATAAACCACTATATGTAATGATGTTTAATGTTGCCTAATGTATGTTATAAACCAATTTACAAAGAATTTCAATCAGAGAGCATTTTCCTGTCAGTCACCAATGCTCCATGGAAATTTGAGAGTCACTTAAAAGGCCAAAGGCATTATTCAGTCTTTGGGGAAAAGAAAAAGACAAATCACTACTTCTTTTATCTCCAATTTTAGATTTTTCGAGGAAAGAAATGAAAGTGTACTTTGTTAGCAACAAAGTAACAGTCAGTCGCAGAATCCAGATATGACTCAAATAAAAATGATTAATAGGAAGCTGTACATCATGTTTTCTCTGTCTTCCTCTATAGAGAGGGAATGGCTGGAAGGGGAAAGCAGAGAAAAGCTGGCTAGCGGAAGCTTTTAATAGCCTCAACAGAAGCCTTGGAGAATTTGAAAAACTTGGCAAGAGGCTTAAAATGCAGATTACTGTACTTCGTTATGGAGAAATCTGAGATCAAATTAAATGAAAAGAAGATATTCTTCCAACTATAATTATGGTATGGCTTAGGATATTAAGAAAGCCTTGAAGAGGATTCATAATTGGACCTGAAAGAAAATTTCTGGGATGAAAAACCTGGCACAGTAGAAAGAGAGCATATCAATAACAAACATCAAGGCAAATATTTCTGAGCTGGCTGGTCTGTGATAAGGTTTGCTATGATATAACTTATTTTTACATGCCAGTAAGGAAAACAAGCACAAGACAAGAACATGCATGCAGCTTAGCTAAAGGTTGAAAGAAGATGAGAAATGCATAATTCCCCCCACTCACTTGTAATATCATAAACAACAACTGCCACAGTGGAGTCACGAATGTAGCTAGGAATCAAGCTCCTGAACCGCTCTTGACCTGCTGTGTCCCATAATTGCAATCGTACCTAACAACAAAATCAGTCAAACAAGCAAGAAAATAAGAAAGGTCAACCCGTTGCAATATACCTACTTGTGATATCGTAAACTACTACAGCTGCAGCAGAATCACGGATGTAACTGGGAATGAGGCTACGGAACCGTTCCTGACCCGCAGTATCCCACAGCTGCAGCCTGATCTGCGGGATGGGAAAAAATAAATAAAACAAAAACAAAAACAAAACTAATACTAAAAAGAAAAAAGAAATAATGTTTTTGAAAAGGGGGAGAGTGGAAAGGAAGTACAAAACAGACTCATGCAAGAGGTTGCAGGGGGGTGAGGAATGAAAATAACAAAACTCATTTTTCAAAAAGGAGTAATATAAAAATTTGCTGGCTCTGAAGGTACATGATGGAAAAATGCCACTGAGAAAAGATTTCAGAGAAACAGAAATATGGCGTCTCTTTTTCCCTTCCTCTTTGAATCCCTATGCCTTCCAGATGGCAAAAAGTAGACTGTTTATGTTCAAATACTGAGCATAAAAGAAAAACTAAGGTAAATGTCAATGCACAGTAAAGGAATTAACACTTCTTTGAAAGCCTCTCTGAAACTAAAATGTTTCTTTCCTATTGGGTCTAGAACGCTTTGAAATTCGGTCTTCTGACTACTGTGCTTATGTTTCATACAATTCTCCCCAGAATAGTCTATATAAATGTAACAAAAGGAGAAATATCCTTTTGCAACCATACACAAAAATTTCTTTACTTACTTTCTCTCATCTGTATTACAGGAAAAAAATGCCTAAAAACAGGCCTCTTACCATTATAAAGCAGTTTCCAAGCTTTCAAATCTTAAGAAATGGCAGGCTATATATTAGAAAATAAAAAACATCCAAAAGAAAAAACTCATATACTTGTAAGATAAAATAATGTTTTTTGGGTGTAGGTCCTGAAATAGTGCATTTTAAGATATTCATTGTTCAGGTGACAGTAATCTCTTCAAGGGGTAGTAGGCTAGAATACAGAATTTACATTGTATTTAAAGGGAACATTCCAAAGGATAGAAGACAAAATACAACAAATAAATATACATTACTTCTTTCTATTCAGTCATTTTGGTATACATCCTATTCTAACAAAGAATATCTTGAAGTTCACAAATTATCTGACATTCAAATGAAATCTTTCTGAATGCCTCACGCGTGGCATTAAAAGATCGTCAGCAGCTCTTATTTCTTCATGAAAATTCTCTTTTAATTTTCTCTTACAGATATCTGTTATTTTTCCAAACCAAAACAACAAATTTTGTTTAACAAGCCTAGGGATATCAGGGTTTTACAAATAACTTGGCTTTCTTTCCACCCTTGGATCTCACTTGGGGATAAGAAATGACAGTGCTAGGTACTGCTCACTCTGTAACAACAGTATTTTTCAAGGCCTGTAAACTAACTTTGGTAGTTTTGCTAAATATGATGACAATCATTGATTATAGTTTTTTTTTTTTGGTGGCTGGCCAGTATGGGGATCAAACCTCAGACCTTGGTATTATCAGCACTATGCTCTAACCAACTGAGCTAACTGGCCGGCCCTGATTATAGCTTTGATCATAGTTTTCTAATCCTGAGTATTGCAGAAAATTGCACACTGAAAACATTACTCACTGTTCGATCCTCCAAGTACATTGTTTTTGATAAAAAGTCAATGCCAATTGTTGCCTGTAAAACAAAACAAAGAAGTTAACAAGTAACAGTTTAATGGTGGCCAGCAATTTAGGATTCAAAATGGGAATTATGATTGTGGAAGAAATAATGAATAAACCCACCACAGCCAAGAAAGAACAAACAAAATTTTCACTGATAATGGCTTCCACACAATGAGCATTTGCTTTGTGTTAGGGATTGTTTTAAGCCTTTTACATGATCATCTCTAATCGATACCTTATATTCATCCCTATTTTCCTCATTTTATAGATAACAAGATAATAAGAACTTTAGCTTAAATATCGGTATTTGAATATTCAAATTTTGTATTTGAACTTTAGTTTGAATATATGAATATTCCCCCACTAAGAATGGTGCTTACTTACCCCCAACAGCAATTTTATAAAATACTGCTGATGTAAATAGGCATTCTGCCTGAATTCCTACATAGTGGTTTGCCAACTGTCCTGATGCCACAGATATCCAGAGACGCACAAACATCATGATTTTCCATAAGGAATATGATTTTTCCAATATAAAATAAAAGTAATTAGGTAATGAAAATAAGTTTTCCTCTGTACCAATCCATGATAATCAGCTTCCTTCTATGGTCCAAAAATATGTAAAGTTCTGTTGCCTGGTTGCTGCTTTCCCTAGCAAGAGAAAATGGAAAAATAATAAGAGAGTCTAAAAGAAGGCAAAGACTAGAATAAAGGAGGAAAAAAGTGAATAAGTTAAAGAAGAGTTCAAAATTAAATATGGGAGATAAATAAAAAAATGGAAGGCAAAGGACCCTGGAAAGAGAATCCTGATGCAAATTCTATTTTAGAAGGTTAATCATCCAATTAATAAATGTTTATGTATATCTCTGTGTGTGTATATCCTATAGGAATGTTCTTCAACATGGTCATGGAAAATGAGTATTACAAAAAAAACTATGCATGAATTTCAAAAATTTTTTGTACCCAAAGAAACTTGTACTAACATTATAAAATGTCTGAACAGGATCTAGTTTGAGGCACTAAGAAGGATAAGGCATCAGTTTGAAAAGAGCCCCTATCAGAGCAACATGAATTCTGCTTAAATTAAAGCAAGAACATCAAATTTATGGTGAAGCTTGGGTGAAATCATTGATGCTTTATGAAAAGTTTAAAGGGACAATGCCCTAAAGAAATCAGCAGTTTACAAATGGATAACTTGTTTTAAGAAGGGATGAGACAGGGCTGTCCGGTTAGCTCAGCTGGTTAGAGCGTAGCCTTATAACCCCAAGGTCATGGGATTTGGATTCCTATACCAGCCAGAGGCCAGAAAGTAAAAAAAAAAAAAACAAAAACGATGAGACAATGTTGAAGATGAAGCCAGCAGTGGCAGACCATCCACATCAATTTGCAAAGAAAAAAATTAATCAATCCTGTCTTTGCCCTACTAGAAGAGGACTGACAATTAACAGCTGAAACATAGTGAATACCACAGACATCTCAACTGGTTCAGTTTACATAATTCTGACTGCAAAATTAAAGTTGACCAAACTTTCAGCTCAATGGGTACAAAAATTACCCAGATCAGGTGCAGACAAGTGCAGAGCTTTCATCGAAATTTTAAACAAATGGGATCAAGATCCTGGAAGTATTTCTTCAAAGAACTGTAACAGGAGATGATACATGGCTTTACCAGTACAAATCACAATCACAGCAATGGCTACCAAGAAGTGGAAGTGGTCCACAGTCAAAGCAAAAGCAGACTGGTCAAGAGCAAAGGTCACGGCAACAGTTTCTTGGGATGCTCTGAGGCATTTTGCCTTTGACTTTCTGGAGGACCAAAGAACAATAACATCTGCTTCCTACGTGAAACTTTTGAGAAAGTTAGCCAAGGCTTTACCAGAAAAACATTTGGGAAAGCTTCACCAGAAAGTTTTTCTTTACCAGGACAATGCTCCTGCTCATTCCTTCAACAAACAATGGCAATATTACCAGATTTTTGATGGGAAATCATTAGGCATCTACCTTACAGTCCTGATCTGGCTCCTTCTGACTTTTTTGTTTCCTAATCTTAAAAAAATCTTTAAAAGACACCCGTTTTTCTCCAGTTAATAATGTAAAAAAGAATGCATTGACATAGTTAAATTCCCAGGACACTCATTTCTTTAGGGAAGGACTAAATAGCTGATATCATTACTACAAGTGTCCTAAACTTGATGGAGTTTATGTTGAGAAATAAAGTTTATATTTTTATTATCTTTTAATTCCATTTTCCACAAACTTTTTGAAGTCCCCTGTCCCCAGAAATATCTTTTTTTTTTTTCCTTTTTGTCTTTTTTCGTGTCCGGCAATGGATCGCAACCCTCAGTGTCGCGCCCGGACCGGACCGGGACCGGCAATGGGATCGCAACCCTCGGTATTGCTCCCGCACCTCGCTCAGCCAGTGAGCGGGAACCGGTCTGTATGTGGGATCCGAACCCTCGGCGGGAGTGCCACCGCGCTCCCAAGCGGCGCACTGCAGCAGTGCGCCACCAGGCCGGCCCCCCAGAAATATCTCTGTACCACACTACTTAGGACAGAAACAGTCTGGAGTTTAAAAAACAAGACATTAAAAATTAAAGAATATTATAAAACAAGAAATCAAACACTGGATAGAAAAGTGGTCCATCCTTTGGGGGATTTTATTTATAAAACTATAATTCTGTGTATCACGATCTACAGCTTTAACTTAAGGATGTATTCAATTACCATCATCTCTGTGGACAAATTTATTATGTGCCTAAAACCCACTGTTTTATCTATGCCATCTTATGTTTCTTGTCAAATTGTAACAATAACAAACAATAAGAAATAACAAGTAATAAGAAATTCTCTAAATTCAAAGTAATCTCAAAAGTTACTCTGAGCAACATTATCTTCTTCAAATAAAAGAATGAATTTACTGGGCTGGCCAGCCTGTTAGCTCAGTTGGTTAGGGCACGGTATTGTAACACCAAGAACAAGGGATTCCCCCGTACCAGCCAGCCATCAAAAAAAAGGATTTACCCCAACCATGAGAATCTTTCTTGAGCTTATTTAAATTAAGTTACACAAAACCGCCATAATTCTACCATTTTTGAATTATAAAAATGGTAAAAATACGGTTCAAACTGGCACATTTAAAACTGCTATAAAATTTTTTTTAAAAATTCCTACAAAATCTATGTGCTTATAACTGGAAAAAGAAGAACTATGAAAAACAAGAGCAACTTAAGGGAATCACTTCTAGAGTCTAGGTAGAAAGAACCATTTCTCTGGTAACTTAGTTTTTTCATTTCACTTGGAGATAATACCTAAAAATTTGGCCAATTAAGGACTTTTCCAGTTTCTTCTTTTTTAAGTGAAATTATTTCAATGCAAAGAAATCATTTTTTGTGTGTGAAATAAAACTTCACTTAACTAAGTTTCAGATTACACATGGTTCATATAAATTCAGTAATAAACTTCTATCATGAGACTAGCACTCTTTATTCATTTCAGAAGTCTTTCTGTTGTGTGTGTATGGGGGAGTGGAAATTCAAATGATTCACTGAAGAACTTTTCACCTGATAACTAAGTTGGCAGCTAACCACACGTGGTCAATTCCTCATATTCAAAGATAATACTTGACATACATTCAAGCCAATTTTCCTAAGTAAAAATGTAGGGAGCGACACATCATCCAAATTTTGATAGAGCATTATCTCTGGATCTAGGACTGTACCTGATTATTTACAAATACCTGTACTCACACTATCAATTTGGCTTCATCAGCAATGACTTTTCCACAAAGAATCAAAATCTCTCCTTATCTGTCAAATTCCATATAACCTCACCCCATCAGTAGCATCACTGACCTTATTTTCTGACTACACAGAAGCCATAGTCTCAGTGCATGAAGAAATAGCAATGGTACTTTCAGGTGTGCCTGAAAGGCCTCTTCAGTTTCACAAAGAACTTGAGTATAACAAAATACTTTAAATACAACCAAAGACCATTTTTGTTTTCCTCCTTTTCAGTGTGATGGAATGAACAAAAAGGAAAAAATTCAAAAACCTAGTTTGTCTTAAATAAGTAAATAAAACAAATGTGCCAATTACTTTAATTTGTGGCTCTAAGGCTCCTTTTTCAATCTGAATATTAATAAATCGTGAAATAATTTAAAAAAAAAACCAAAGAACTCTATGGTCTGTAGTTCATAATTCTTTAGCATAAGACCCTCTTGTTGAGATTTTTTTATACTGTGGTCTTTTATACTGTAAACTGAAAGATTTGAGCTTACACCCTCAGGAACTCTCCACATCTGGCTCAAAAGCCTCAATGCTTTTTTTAATCCCTGAGACTGGTATTTTTGGCACCTCTGCTGAAGAGTAACAGAAGCATTGCTCACTCAAAATACTATAAACAAGAAAAGGTCATCTGAGTGAATTTTCCTAGGTCTTTGCGACCTGTAAAATTGGGAATACCTGATCTAAAGGGCTCTGAAAGAAACTGAAGCACTCTTGTTGATTGAACAATTTTTCATTTCTATACTTGCTCTCTTTATAAAAATGTCTTAAGAGGTGGCTAAACCTTTTCTAAATATTCACAATAGTATATACAGTACATATTCACAAGTTTTTCATTTTTTTTAAGTGGCTTTTCCTAAATGTCAGGTTTGTTTTAGTCATCTCTGTTCAACTACCATTTTTATGGTTTTTAACATAACAAGGTCCACAAATTACATTTAGCTGTTTTTCTCATCAGAATCTTTTGTGAAATATCTCAACTGCCCCCACTTTTTTTCCCCCACACAACTGACTTGAAGAGATGAGTCAGTTGTCCTACAGAGTGATCCATTTTCCAAAATTATCTTCTTTCTTACTTGTGATGTCTATTTGTTCTATCCTCTGTTTTTCTTACGAATTAGCTATAAAGCTTGGTCAGATTTAGGTTCAACATATTCTAGGTTTGTAGGAAATGCTGGATATTTCATATTGTATCACATTAATCCATACATTAAGGCACACAATATCCACT